GAAGAATTGAATCAGATGCTATAACTTATTGTTTCTAGGCTTTCGCCCATGCTGCTAAGCAAATTAGTCCACCAACAACTCGCCAACTTCCTGGAAGCTCTGCTTTTCTCGTATTGAATGAAAGTGGCATAATCATCAAGATGAGCGACTCTGACACCTTGCAGGTACTGGAGTTCACTAGCATTTGTATTCCAAAAGTTGCTAATTAGGTGAGCATAAACGGTGAAGATGTAGAAGCACCTCATGGCCGATTTGTGGACCTTCGTATGAACAAAGAAGCAGCTGCGGTCGCTGCTGAATCTGTAAGTTCTTTCATCAGCATTATTTTTAGTAAGTGGTGCTCTTCTCTTATTTAGCAAGCCAAAGAGCGTCTTAGCAGCACTCAAAATGAGCTTTCTGCTGATCTTCGTATCAATCTTCTTGACACTGTTCGGAATTTGAAGATTGGTCGTGCTGGTAAAATCGCTGTACCATTGCCGAAGAAGAGTGACGGTGGAAAACAGTGGAAGGTAAGAATAGTTTACCCTTTCTGTTTCTTTTCCATTAGAACAGTTTCAGCTTATTGCCGAGACGACCATCGAGAATGGTCGTCGCTTGATAACTTTCACATCGCACGTCAGTGTAACAAACCATCTGGACGTACCAATGGAACTTTATTCGAAGAATAACACTAATTTGGATTTATTTGGAACAGTGTCTCCGGGAGAGACGCTGAATCTAGTGGTCCCACTGCTATTTTCAGCGACCGGAGAGATCTTCTTCAGACCTGCTAATGACAAGTGAGATTTTGCTTTCAACTTTTTATTAATTTTTACTTCCTTGCATTCTTCCAGATTTGTTCCATTTTTGTTCTTCTCGGTCATGAACTCTTAATTGTTTTGCGCATCGTTTAGTTCTAGATGTGAAGTCAGCTTTGAATCGCTGACATGGCATCAGTTTACCCACCAGATGCGACAAGTGATCCGATGTGATTTGAGTGAAGATACCACACAGGGTTACTTCTTCGAAGCGGTTGTTTTGGAGGAGAAAGTCCGAGAAGGTATGCCCTCTCTATCTAATCGTAAACATAGATAAGCTGGGGGATTCGGAACATTATGCT